CCACCCCTGAATTTAAAGTTTTTTGCTTTATCTGCTTGTTTTATTTTAGTACTATTTTGTATCAATGTAAATATTTTAAATGTGCCTCCCAGTGTAAAATATCAAGTTTTATCTAACAGTATTTGAGTAAAACACAGAACAACTGTACGTGTTACATTATTTGATCAAACATCAGTTGGTTTGAGAGCTTTCATTTCTCTGTAGTTTCTGAAAAAAACAGTTCTGCATTTCTTTAAAGTCCAAAAAAACATTTCATATTTCAGAACCAGACTGATCTAACATATATGAAAAAGTATTTTTTACATCCAGTTGTCTCAGATGGAATAGATACATTGAGTCCAAATGTGACAAAACGTTGAACAAGGGGTCAAAGAGAGAAACTGAGACAAAGTGTAAACACGTGAAAGTCCTTCTCAAAATCTAAACCAACAGGTTGGGCTGGATTGAACTCACTTCCACCCCATCTCTTCCTATAAATTTGTTCAAATTCCTCTACTTCCTGTTTGACAGTCTGGCCTTTCAACTGTCTTGGATTGATTGGAGCACCTGCAGCAAATATTTGGGTAACTTCACTTTAATAGAATCATTGATTTGGACTCTAGAATCTCCTCAAACTGACTGGATGTCTTCAGGAAGTTTAGCCTAAAGCTCTGCTGGTTTCTGGAAACTTCTGAAGATTTCTCTGAGAGCTTCCAGATCCGGCGATCCTTTGAGTTGAAGGTTTGAGTTTGCAGAAGGTCCAGCAGAACGAAGAGAAGAACGAGACAACTTCCTGTGACTTTTCAAAGCAGTTTTTTTTTTTATAAGCTGTTGAACAAATTTAGATGAAGTTTGACTTTTTGTCGTGTGTTTTTGTGGTTGGTTGAAAAWTTTGAAGATTCTCCTCCAGAAGTTGAAGTGCAGCAGTGGCCTAAAGTTCTTGGTGTTCCTTACCTTGATGAGTTGAAGTCACATTGAGTCAGTTTGATGTGATTCTAGAGTCCAAATGATGGGTACTGAAGTCCAGAGATCCAGGAGTGAACGATGCAAACAGACGGTCAGAGCAGTGATAAAACTGAAGGTGCTGCTGGTTGTACGCTGCTTTTATCTGTGTGGATGTCGAGGAGACGAGGACTTTTCCCCTTCTGCCATCAGCTGGGAATCAAACCCAAGTTCTTCAGCTCTTAGGAAAGTGAYGAGCTGACGTCTCCGGAACATTAACCAAACTGTAGTCACGTTTGAATGATCCTCTCTAAAATTTAGATCTCAACTTTCAGAAAGCTCAGATTCGATTTTTTAATTACTCAACTTAAAATTCACGTTTAACAGAAAACAGGTTCAGTTACCAGCAGGATTTGAATCTTTGCTCTGTGTGACTTCAACCAGCTTATCCTCTCAAGTTTGTTTGAATGACAGAAATGATTCTAGTCTATTTTGGTTTGACAGTTCAAAAAATACTTTAATTTTAATCTCCAGGAGGGATTTGAACCCACAACCTCTAACATCAAATGTGTCATCATCCCTCTGAACGTTGCTGTGGTTTCTGAGACCGTTTGAGTTTTTATTAGAAGTTTGTCACCATTAAAGTCAGATGATCCTGAGGTTTGAACCCAAGTTCTAACATCCTGAGCTGTTCAAGTTTTACCTCTGTTGACTTTTAAAAGTAAACCCACCTCAAATATTTGTTACGATACTTGTTGCCTTCTAGTTTTGTTGTCAACTCAAAGTACCTTAGGTCATTCTTAGCCGGTCAGAGGACAATCCCTCCCAACCACCAAACAAAATCCTAACTTCTGAATGCAGCACACTTTTACTATTTATTGTTATTTAAAAGCACTTAGAGAAATGATTTTATGCTTCTTGTGCTKAGACCAAAAAGCTTCAAGGTGTTTTGATCCTATTTCCTCTAACTTGATCTGTAAAGACTTTTTAAGTCAGCGGTGTTCAAATAAATGTCTTCACTAATCTTCAGTAATCTTGTTCATCTGCAGAATCAAAACATTAGTTAAGCTGCAAATAACTTGGACTTAGAGGTTATTCAAATACTTTGGGCTTTTTTGGGGTTTCAATTTAAAAATCTGGACAAATAAATTCAACTTTATTTTCATTCAAGCTTGAAAGTTAAAAAAACTAAAGGGGCAGCTGGTATTTATAAACTTGCTGTTTTAGTGATTGCGGATTATATTTGTATTGAATGACTTTACTCAAATGATCAGTTTTAAACATCTTTTTAAATGAACCATGCCCATTTAACTTAATAAAAAATATACGCAAATAACACATTTTTTAAAATATTTTTTTAAACATTGGTTTCAGTTTTTCTTTAAACTGAATTTTGCATGGAAAACGACTAATTACTCATTTTTAATCAAAGGTTGCACAATATTGGATAATTTTAAATTCATTGTGCAATAAAAAATGTTTACATTTATAGTGAGTGATTGGTTTTTATCCCATCTGCTGCTCCACGTGCAGAATATGCTTCTTTATCAGGTATGATGAAAGTGCCTGCATGTGTTTGCACGTGATGAATGAAAGGGGTATCATCGTTGTCAGCACATCTCCAGGTAAATAGAACAGTCAACCTGTCCTTTTAACGAAGCGATTAGGATAATTAACTTACGAGTTTACGAGGATTAAAGGCAGATTAAAGCCAGTGAGAACAACAGGGGAGGGAGTGGAAATGCAGAGAACTACAAAAGGTCTGGACCAGCTGGCACTCTCACCCTAAGAAGGCTTCCAGTGTTGCGTGACTGTGAAGAGGAATAACCTCCGCTTCACAGTAGACCAGCGGCGAGGTTCGTTTGCAYCTTCAGCTGCTGAAGAGATGGGTAACTCGAACGGCTGCACCGTGGACGACCTGCAGGCTGTGGAGATGCACCTGTGGTACAAGAAGTTCATGACGGAGTGCCCCTCGGGTCAGCTCACCCTGCACGAGTTCAAGCAGTTCTTCGGGCTGAAGGGTCTAGACCAAGAGGCCAACGCTTACATAGAGCAGATGTTCCGAACGTTTGACATGAACAAGGTAAGACCAGCGACACACAGAAACTTACACAGTTTTAGACTGTTTAAAAATGTTCAGTTATTTTTGATCTGGTAATATTTGTTTTATTCATGGTTCTTCTTCCAGTTATCTTACGATTCGAGTGACTTATTTTTAATTCTAAAAGATGTATTTGCAGTAATTTAAATTTCAGTGTTATGGCATAAAAAATCAAATTACAACTTGTCATAGTTGACCATTTACACCACATTTTTACTCTAATAAATTTAGTGTCAACATTCTCTTTTACAACCCAAAATGGTCCCAATAAAAAGTTTGGGACATTGAAATATTCCAGAGTTCTCTAACCAAAATGTGACTGACAATGAATCCAGCATAAAATGTAGACAATTTAATCAGCTAATTAATTCATTAAAACATTTACATTATCTATTAAGTTAAAACATCTGATTGGATGGTTTTAATTATTTAGTAMAACACAAAAAAACAGAGTTCATGTTTACTCAATCAATCCCACAAACTAGAAAACGTTAAGTCCCAATTTCCTCTCAGATCAGTTTAATTGGGAGCACTACGTCATTGCAGGATTCCCATTGAAGAAGCTATATTTGTTCCTTTCCTGGTACAACAAAAGGTCGCTGTAATCTCTGCGCTTGATTGGACAAAGAGATTATCTTTAAGTCGATGCTTTGATGGTAGGACTCTTTGTGACACAGACAGATAATCCTCTGTCTTGGTTTAAGAACGGAAAACAGATGTGGAGTATCCCGTTGTTTCCTCATTAAAAATGTAAAATGTCCGAGCAGGTAAGTTGTACGTCACAAAGTGCGGTTTGGCACAGTTCTGACATGGATCTCGCTGCTCATTTCTGCAGGACGGCTACATAGACTTCATGGAGTATGTGGCCGCTCTGAGTCTGGTGATGCGAGGAAAGATGGAGCACAAGCTGCGCTGGTATTTCAAACTCTACGACGTGGACGGAAATGGCTGCATCGACCGGCACGAGCTTCTGAACATCATCAAGGTAGAGTCGCGCCCGTCACGGTGCATTTTCATTAAACTTGTCCTCAATGCRGAAAAGCTGATTTTCTCCTCCTCCTCCTCCAGGCCATCCGTGCAATCAACGGGAATGAAAATCAGGATGCAACAGCAGAGGAATTCACAAACCGTGTCTTTGATAGGATTGATATAAATGGAGATGGTGAGTGTGTGGAAACACGGGTGGGCGGACAAGGTTTAGAAATTTAAATCCAGCCTGAAAATAGGAACAAAAGAAGGGGAAAACAGCACTGGTTAAATGCCAAATAAAACCAACGATAAAACTTTAAACACCCTGCTAATGTACTGGCTGCTTTTCATTTATTAATAAAGACCATATTTAAAAGAACAGGTTAAGTTCAGTCACTATGAAAACTAAATTTTCTTTTAGATATATTACAGTATTGTTACATTTTAGATATTAGATTTGTTTTAAGTTTACAGTTTAATTGTTGCCAATGAAATACTTTAAAGGTGTTTTATGTACTTGTATTTATGCATCATTAACAAATTTGAGTTTCTCTTAACTGTAATTTAGTCACATTTTAATGTAAAATTCTTAAAAGAATATCAGAACCCTTTTTTTATCTACTTGAAAATTTAGAAAAATAATTATTTCTATTAGCAAACACACTGGTCCAACTGAGAGGTTTGATGGTACATTTTGGGTTGTATAGATGTTTGATAACTAAAACTTTCAAAGAGAGAAAAATAATGCAGGTGATAAACAACCATACTTGTGTTTCATGTTTCATTTCTAATAATTCATATTTGAGCGCAATTCCTAATTATCAATGAGCTATAAATTGCAATAAATATTGATTGCAGCTTAAAGAAAATGTAAAGATGTATATTTTCAAGTTAAATAAGATTAACGTGAGCTGTGTTCATATGCATACACTGACGTTTTCTTTTGTGGTACTGTATTTTATTTAATTGCTCAGGTTGTATTTAGCTCATTTAAACAATGAAATCAACTGAAATAGAAACAGCAGTGAAAATTATATATGTCGGTGTAAAAGAAATGTGCGTTTAGTAGCTATATATGATTTAAGATATTCGTAATATTTAGACATGCTGAGATTTTAAAAGAAAGGGGGAGAAATCTAACTAAAAAACTAAAAGAATTTCTTAAACTTTTTAGAGAAAAATGCAGATTAGAAAGAGTTCTTAGAGTTTTAAAAAAAGTGTGCGTCAATTCCACAAACTAAAAGATTTAAAGTAAAATATATAAAAATGGAGTACTTGGTCGTTTTTTAACTAATTGTACTTTTCTCCAAAACAGGTGAGCTCTCTTTGGAGGAGTTTGTGGAGGGTGCTCGCAGTGACGAAGACTTCATGGAGGTGATGATGAAAAGTTTAGACCTTCGTCACATCGTGGCCATGATCCACAACAGGAGGCGCAGTGTTTAGGATCAGTCCGTCCAACTACCTCAACCTCATCCCAGATTTGACCCGAGTGCTTCAGAATGCTGCCTCCAGTAATAAACAAACAATCCAAAGGTCTTTTATATAAAGCGAGATTTCAATTAAGATTGAATTTATCTTTGTGCGATGGCAGCGCGCCGCTAACGCTGACATATTCTAAGTTTAACCTCCAAAGTGACACATGTGCACTTTAAATGGGCTGACTCATTCAACCCTCAGACTGGTCATTGTCCTTGTTTAATGAAGGCGAGCTCTCCCAAGGCCACCCTGGCATGAAGGATGATCCCTCAGATGGACACCCTGAGGGATAAGGTAGAGAGATAATAGAGCAGAGTGCCAATTATGTGCACTCAACTGAGCTTCACAGATTCATTTTATTTCCTCAAACTTCTGTTTACCAGGCGAGAGCCTGTGGGATTTACAGGAGACAGTCTCTGCAGAGAGTTGAATCCTGTCCTAATTTGATTAAGTCTGTGGCCGTGAAACAGTTAAGGGTGACGTCTCTAGAGAGAATCAGTGGAGTGTGTAAATGTTATCTTTTTGTATATTCTCATCTTTTGTACATAACATATTAAGAATTATAAGAAAAAAAAATAAAGGCTTATTTTGTAGCCTTTCTGTGTGGGTGTATGCTTCTTGGCTTCTTATTCTGGATCTCTTCAGATGGAAGACTGCAGAAATTCTTCAATTTTCTGTCCATTTAACACCAAAAATAAACAAGAAAAATGCTAAACTGTGACTTATTTTGTTTCTTCTCTCAGATTAGTTTTATATTTTACAGGTTGATGCAGCACAAAACTGAACCATGCACAGAAAAATATTTAGCATGAATGCGAATGTAACGTTACAGTTTTGGTAACGTCTAATGGAACAGGAGAGGATATCAGTCGTGACTTTCTCTCTCTCTCCTGCCAAATAGAACTTGATATCATTCACAGCTGTGCTGGCCAGAGGCAATACTGCTAAAGTGGAAATCTGCAGCTCCACCTGAATTAGAGAGGTCCTTTATTTTCTTAAATTGGAAAAAATCTGGCTGACATCAGCTTGAATAATTTGAAATAATGAGTCTCTTTGAATCATGTTTTTCATATTCATATATATATACAGTATATATATATAGTTGGCATTTTGCAGCACTTACATGAATTGAGAATGATGGTTCTAATATACAAATTTACAGTTTGCATTGAAAGCATAACCTAAACTACTTTTAAGGCCTCATTTTAAAAGTCTTTATAGTTTAACAGTTTGTGCCGTAGCTGATGAAGATTTTCAAGGTTTTATTTGTAAATGCTCAAAAAGTCTCACTTTTCAAAGTAAAACTGATTTGTAAAAAGCACCAAAATATCTGCTGCTCTAAATTTCTACATACTGAAGTTCAAAATCGACTTTATAGAGTTAAATGGTAACCAGTCTCTTAAAAAGTCAACTGAAGATAATTTTATATAGTACTTCTTAACATACGAGTTACAAGAGTGAAACATAAAACAAAACTAAGAAAAAGATCAGTGATGCAAAGTTCAACACGTTTCCTCCCTAAAATTTCTTTAAGGTATTTCAAGTTTTTACCTACAGGGGTTAGAATTAAATTCTGGTCAAGCTCAAAAATATTGGGGATTATTTATTGTCAAATGTGGAGAAAAAAAGGTTTGCATTCGCCCTATTTTCGCAGCATTATCCTCAGACAGTGCAGTACTTCAGCAGAGATAAAAATCTGCCTCTGAGCAAGGACAGTGACTCACCTGTATGTTGCCAAAATGACTACATGTCAGGAAAAAACTAGAGGCACCACAGTCATCTTCATTTGCATTATTTGACACAAAACTATTTGCATTTATCCCTCCAATACATCAAACTATTTTTTATTACAAGTCTCTTTTTGACCGTTTTTTTTTTATTTAAATCAATATGATAAAACAACTAAAGAAAGATCAAGTCACATTGTAAATATCAGGTTCAAGTTTTACAAATGCATGTTTCAGATGCTCAGAGTCACATCCATCTGCCACAAGGGGGCAGCGACATTATCAGATTGACTTCCCTCACAGCCATTCCAGCTGTTTATTCTGCCAAACACTTGTTCTTAAGTGAATTCTTGCAGAAATAAATCCTTTTTTATCTTACCGTCAGCATGTGTCAACTCTTCTCCACGCACCGCAGGCTCACAGGAAATCGTACAGATACTTCACAATATCAAAGTTCACAGTCCTGGAAGATAAATCACACCAAGCACATTCTCTTTAAGACGCTGGAAAAGGTCAGTTCCTTTAAATAATTCAGCCAGACTCAGTCACGTGATAAGAGACGGACGTACACACACACACACACACACACACACACACACNCACACACACACACACACACACACACACACACACACACACACACACACACACACACACACACACACACACACACACCTGGATATGGCAGAAATGAAGTCCAGAGAAACGGCACATTTATACTTTGGGGCATCGAGCTGGTCGCTGTGGCTGACCTGAACCAGCAGCTGTAAGGTCACCAAGGAGGAGATCTGAATGGAGAAAAAAACAGATTGATTCCTGATTTTATAAAACATAGCTCCTTTATTTAACTRAAGAGGCACTAAATGATGAAAGGCAACAGCTCAGATATAAGCTGAGCGCAGCTTCTCAAAACCCCTTTATTCAGAGTCCTAAACAAGTCTTTATTTGGCTTCAGAGCTATGGAAAGCTTATCTACAACCATTTGTTTAATAAACTAGATTTAAAATTAAAGAGCACACAACTTCCTCTTAAATACTGTAAAATATGTAACATATTTTGTTCGTTCTCACAAGTTTTGTTCTGGAAAATGGTAAACTTGTGTGAAATCATCTGTTATCCTGAGGTTTTGACCAACTTTAGGAAATTATTACACTTCAGTATTCAGTTTAACAAAGTAAAGAGGCAGAAAATAATTCCACTGTTTATAGTCAAATGCCAGCATCTAAACACTCCTGATAGATTATAAAACATGCAGATTGATTGTGCAGAATGTCATAAGAGCATCTCTCTGACTGAAGCATTGGCCTGGATTGATATAATCTGAGTCTTTGTASCAAGCATAGACAATGAGGAAGTTTCACTAAAAGACGATGCCTTCAGGAAAGGTTTAAACATTGTAAAATCCATGAGACAACAGAGAAACAAGCTTAATCTTTTGCCGACATTTGTTTGCTTAGCTAATCCTAAAACTTAGCAAAAGTGTGGTAAAAGGCTTTGCAAGTGCAGTGAATGTAAAGCATCCTCATCAATCACAGAAATATAAATGTTTGCAAAAAGAACGTCAAAAATCACAATTACAAGAAATAAAATATTCACATAACAGTAAACAGGAAGATGTTTGCCAAAGTAAAAGTTACAAAATAAATATACTGACAGATGGCTAAATGTTTACCATGGCCCATTTCTTGTTTTATTAAAAAGAATGTATTAAATTAAATAGTATTTTTGCCTGAAATATTAAACAAAGGTTCGTGTCTTCCATGATTCAGATGGGTTTTTATTCATTCAGCAGTTCACACTTCTTTCATCTTTTGACAGATAAGATTTAAAACATTAAATCCCTTTTTATAAAGAACGGGTTGCTTTCAGGCAAGTTTATCTGTGCTTTGTATTCAGGTAGTCAAAAAAATCTAAAATGCTTCTCATATAGCTTTTATTAAAACTAAAAATCCTTTATTTTAGTGATTTAACACCTGACGTGACAAGGCAGCTTCCTCATTTCTCTGCTGAAGACAAACTTTTCAACTTAAATCTGAGTTAAACTACAGCTGCTGTTCTGAAACTTTCACATTTAGAGACTTTATGTTCATATTTGAATTATAAAATTTCTGTCTTTTATTAAGAAAACAACCAGCATAAATACTATATAAAGAGAAAGAAATAACTTTTCTCTAATAAACACATGTAAATAAAAGGTGATATAAAAGTAAACTGTTTTGCTGAGCTGAAGTCAGACCTGGGAGAAGATGCTGGCGGTCGGGGCGACTCTGCTGTCCACAACGCTGTAGAAAATGGCGAGCAAACGGTCCAGAGGAAAGGGCTTCGGCCCCAGAAGGTGGTTACTCGTCTTAAAACAGACAAATTGTACAGCATTAAAWTTTAATCGCTTCAAATATAAAATAAGGAACTTAAACCAGAGCATGATCAGGAAGTTCACCTTTTCATTTTTCTTCAAGAAGTTTGTTTTTCTTATTTTGCCATGATGCTGTGGAGCAAATAGAGGGAAATTAAATTTTACAAATCTATCGACAAGATCCTTCATTTAGATGGATAACCCTGAAGAGACAAAACAGATTTTTACGTGACGAAGATAAAATGAACGAACCTTCAGAAAGAAGCGTTTATCTGTGCGGGCAGGGTTGTAGGAAGCCAGATAGGCAGCAATCAGCAGAAACTTGGAATAATAAGGAAGTTCAACGTGAGTGTGAGCCGACAAACCTTTGAAGAGTAAAAAAAAAAAAAAAGATAAGCCACCACCCTCACACGCTTATTTATAGCATTATTTTGACCTCATAGACTAAAATATAACAGCAGAATCAATCTGTGAAGCTCAGGGTGTCGTCACTCAGTGCAACACAGTTTCATGTGTGTTAGCACCTCTCAGAGCTCCGGTTTCCTGTTCCTCCATCTGCTGCATGTGTTCCCACTGAAGACTGCAGGGAGACAAGATAAAGATAAGTTTGAATCTGTTTGAAAACAGACCAGAGATCAGGTAAATAGTAAATTAATCAACTCTTAACACCTGGACACCTCTCGGAGGTAAACGGTCTGCATGGCTTTCTTCAGATGAGGCTCGATGTTTTTCCACAGCTTGTGTGTGTCGGTCTCTTTCACTAAATATAAATATCCACAGGGAGAGCATGTTTGTTAATATTTTGTATATTGTGTTGAAATCAGCAAGCAAATTTAAAGAAAAGTCAGTTAAAATCAGCATAAATAGGAAAATATGATTAAAAACCCAACTAATTTCTCTAATAAAACACGTTTTTACATTACACGTTGAGGCTCATCTGTTACCTTTTCCTGCTTCTAGAGGCTCACAGAACTTTGGAAAGTTGAGAGCAGCCTGGTTAGACAAAAGAAGAAATCATTACTGATGCAATAAACCAACCTTAAGGCTGCAGTAACTGTGGAGAGTTTAGTGTTTCTGACCAGGTGTCGCAGCTCTCTGAGGTCCCGACAGACCGAGTAAAAGACTCCCAGAAGGATGTTGATGTAAGAGGAGTAAAACTCTGCTGAATAAGAAGGATGTCTGTCCCTGGACAGGACCTGCTGCAGCTCACCTACGAACAGACAAATCTCATAGTTTCAATTTATAAAAGGTGGTGCTTTGTGAAGAAATCCTGCTCTACAGTTGCCGTTGGAGGTGTTGGAATAAATTCACAGGTRCGGATCTCACACCACAACCCTGCAGCGAAGCGTTCATCATTATTATGCAGTGTTGYGTGAGAACGTTAATACCTTTACTGTAGTCGGGGAAATGGAGCAGGAGAGGTTCAAAGCAGCCGGTGTTTGGTCTGAATGTGTCCCAAACTATTTCACTAAGCAGTATGACCGTAACGTTGTCCTCCACCTGAGAACAGCAAATATGTCTCATCTCAATGGTTTTATTATGCATTAGTGAATTCAATTTGACAGTTTCGACAATAGTTCCTAAATTACACCTGAATGCATGAAGCCTCAGGTTCTGAAACACAAAGGGTGTAGAGGTTCATAATTTCCCATGTGTCCCTAAAGTATGTTGTTTTTCCTAAGCTTAGCTCCCCAAAGCAAGAAGAATTTTCATTTCAACTGTTTACTTATAAAAACAGATGAGATTAGTTTACATTTGCGCCAGCTTTGCAGAAATAAGCCAAGAGTGAGGGCTTGTTTTCGCTTCACAAAACGCACTTTGTGCATCTTGCTGCTACTTTACTTTTTTCTTTTTCTAGTATGCTGACAAAGTCTCCGAGCTGCCAAAAAAAAAAAAAAAAAAAAAAGTGTCAGCGAGTCTGTAAACTCGCTGTGATGCTCACTGAGAAAATAGAAATGTAGCTTGTGCTGTGTGCAGGAAGAAAGTCACAAAAACCACAGCTTCACAGAAGAAAGTGGCTCATTTTATATTCTGTTTGAAAAAAATAATACGTTTACCAACAACAAACCAAATCTGTCAATCGCAACAAACAGCATTATTAGAAGGGGGTTAGTTTGAGTCTAATTAGTTCAACACAGAAAATAAAAGTAAAGGTTAAAGTGTGAATAAAGTTTCAACTTTCATTATTATTAGTGCAACCTGTCTCAAAATTACACTCCTTCTAAACACTGTAACAGATTTTCTGACTGATAACTGAATCTACATACACTTTTATGTTTTATTTACATTAATCAGTTACTTTAAACAGTAAGAAAATCAACAGGTTTGTAATTATTTTAGTGTTTGACTCCATAACTTCATTGTTAACCATGACATCATATCTGGGGCGAGACCAGGTTTTCTATAAACACTGTAAGAACACGTGATGTGATGCGATTTTGTCCGGATCTCTTAGGGTTTGGTCAGGATGGACCACAGCGATGAGATAAACTTTGTATGTCTGAGAAGAAACATTCAAGGCCAAGTACTATTCTTTTCAACTGGAACTGGATTAATTATGATTATTTTTTTCTGACTTGCTCCACGAATAATTGACATTTTGCCCAATATGAGCTTCATTCAGCTAGTTTTAAATTTGTGCTATTGCTGCAACAAAACCAACAAAATCCTGAAATTGTAGCAAAAGAAGAGGAAATTAAAAAAAAATATGATTGAGAATAATGTTAAAGTTACTGAAAATCCATCAGTATGTGCATGTCAGCAACAAACTCTTTACCCTGTGATTGTTTTAATACAATAACGTGCATTTGATTTACAAAATCCTTCCTTTTTACATCAACCTCCATATGTTCATACATCTAGAGCCTAATTATCACATCAAAATACCACACGGCAGCACTGACGCACAATCACATTAGAGGCAGATTCTCAGCTTTTACAGAAATAAAAGAGAGCGATCACTTGAGTCTTTAATTAAAACAGTGAGTGGTTGCTTTCCTTTCGAACAGCATTATGAAAGAGCTCTTTACGCTCGGCTCAAGGACACTTCTTACACATGAGGCTTTTCCCTTCATCATCCACACAGCGGAACAACAAGCCTTATCTAATAAAAGTCACAAAAAAAGACATGCTGTACTTTCTCACCAGTTCCTGAAGACGGAGGAGAGCAGGGAGGAGGTTGGCTTCAGCGTCYCTGAGAAGTTCAGCTTTTTCCATTATCTGAAAGACACACAGACGCGGCATGTTTCCCTCTGTAGTATTTATACTCACTAAAAGGAAAAGCTGTGAATGAGTGTTATGGGGAGTGAAAATGTGATATATGAGCAAACACTTTCAGCCAAAGCTCTAGATTAAATTCACACCTGTTCTGGCTGAGAGAGAGAGAGAGAGACAGAAAAAAAAAATTCTCCAGGCCAGAACATCTGGAGCTTTGTTCAGCATTTGTCTCAGAAGTAATCACATTATCATTCAAACCGTATGAGGCACAAAGAATAAACAACTAGATGTGTCATGGACATGGACGCTCTGCCGTGCCGAGTGAGGAGTGACGTGTTGGATTTGGCTTAAAAGCTCAGAACTCACGATGTATCGCGTCTGCTTGGCAGGAAACTGGGAGGAATGTTGCTTGTAGATGCGTACAAAGTCAGACAAGGAKGGACTGCGAGGGAGCAGAGAGGCAGCATCGACGCCAAAGAAGGACAGCAGCACTTTTTCAAACAGCAATGTGGCAGAAACACACTCGACACAGCTGACCGAGGCATGAGGAAGCTGCAGAGAGATGATGAAAGATGAGCTGATGTTTGTGGAGTACATATACAACCATCACTCTGACGCAGTCTTCTGATGTTGCAAATTGAACACACACAACTAAGGCTTTGTTCACACTGCAGGTCTTAATGCTCAATTTTAATTGTTTGCACAGTCATTGCACAAACATTAGCATGTGTAGATCGATTCTGTTGTTATAGTACAATTCAGGCAACTACAGTATATTTATACTGCTATATTGATTCTTTCCAATGTTAACATTTCTGTAACAGGAGATAATGACAACAGAAAGAAACTCGATTATTGATCCCATAGCATTGATACGATCCAAAATGTTTTTATAATAATGTTAATATTGTATGTTGGTGTAAATAATCAGTTCTGTAGTTGAAGACATGTAGTTTCTAGCTTTAAGCTACATGACTAATAATATTATCGGCATCGACCCTGACCTCCATGACAAAACAGTTGGATGACAAAAAAACAAACACACACAGATTTGGGTCCCATTTGTCAGCTGTGTGAACGTAGTCTTAGTCAGGCCCTAATGTACTTTTTCATATCTCAGAGTTAAAGGCTCAACCTTTATTTTAGATACTCTTTATTTTTTATCCATAAAAAATATCATTTTAAGACGGCTGCATTATTCTAAAATTAAAGCTTTTTAATACGCAAGTTTGTTTTCTATTGTCATTTCTAAAATGACGCATATAATTAAAAGTATTCAAGTATTCCCGGGGTCTGTGACTGTCTGCTGGGGCTCGGGGCCTCTGGACCTGTCGGTCTTTGGCCTGGAGGCGGTGCGCCCTGGGAGCCAAGACCTCTGTGCCCTTTCCTGGATCTGCGGCGGGTGCCGGTGTGGCACATGAGTTTGTCGCTGCTGGCCCCGGGGGCTGTGCGTGTGGTCRCTGGGGGGACTCTCCCAGTTCTCCCCTATGGTCTGATCTGGGGGGTGGGTGGGCGGATCTTCCCGTGCGGGTGCCCCTTCGGGCTCTGCGCTCTAGATCCCTCTCGGGCCCTTGGGCTCTGGTCTTCCCTATGTCTGCCTCGTGTCTTGGGGGTTGGGTCTCCGGTCCTCCACAGTCACTATTAAATATTCCATTGGAGAAATCTTGTATATACACGCATGTTCACAACTGCTCACARACAGGTGTTCTGATCCGGGGGGTTCTGACAGGTCACTGAGTGTGTATAAATGTCTGTGTGTATATACTGACAATATTTATGAATGTAGGCATGTATGTATGTATATCTTTATATATGTATGGGTATGTGTATATATTTATATATGCCCTCCATGTATTTATCCATTTATTTTTCAGGTGAGCAGACAGATGTTGAGTGTGTGGTCCTGTGTTTTGTTGGTGTTTATTTAATATACTTCTAATCTCTATTTCAATCTTTCTAATTACTTCTCTCTCTTTCTCTATTTTCTCTTCACTCTAAAAAAAGTCACTGATGATGAAGAAATAAATAAACTAATAATATTTAGTTTCGTTTTCTACTGAAGTGACAAAAAAAGTATTCAAGCGATGCCCACGTTTAGTTTACTGACAAGTTTTTAGGACAACTGATAAAATCTAATATTTTTAAGGACTCAACGGTTTGATAAAACAGATTATTTAATACCTAATATTTTCCAAAGGTTCAAATAAGCTGGAAAGAGTCTGGAAGTTCAGATACAAGCTTGTTCAACAGTTTGTCCTCCAAATCATTTTTTAATGTTACTTTTAATAAAGGAAGAGAGGGTGGGTTTTAATAAGTTTATACTTCCACCCACTCCTTTGAACGTTGATTATTTACTGTATTACTGTCATTTTATTTGTCATTTATAACGTTCAATAAACTTACAATACAAATACGAATTATCCTGAAGAAAAGCACAATAAAAATTTTCCTACTTTGCACAATACTGGAATATATAACAAGCACAAAAAATTATATACACATATATACACTACATCCACACATATATACACACACATGTATCTGTATGTTTACAAAGACATTCAATAACTGGACAGAAAACATCTCTCTCACCTCCAGTTCCTTTAATAAAACGTCAATCACATAACTCTTCCCTGAGGATCGATGACCAAAGATAAAGAGTGAAGGGTAGCAGTACTGCTCTGGCTGAAAGAACACAAATAAAAAAACCTCTTTAGCTCTTCTGCTTTTATTGAAATAATCAAAACCTTATATGATTTTGACACTAGAAATCCAGTGGCAAATCATAAACTGTTATAAATATAACAAATATTTTAAATACAGTAAACTCACACCCATAGAAATCTTCCTCTATCATAACACTAACTTTTTTCCATCCATCCACCCATTATCTATACCCATTTATTCCTTTCAGGGTTGCGTGGGTCACTGGTGCCCATATCCAGCAGTCACAGTGCGAAGGGCAGGGTGCACCCTGGACAGGTCACAAGTCTATCACAGGGCCACACATAGAGACAAACGAGACAGACAACCACTCACACTCTCACTCACACCTAGGGACAATTTAGAGTTATCAATTAACCTAACAGTCATGTTTTTGGTGTGCTGGAGGAAGCCGGAGTAGCTGGACAGAACCCACGCATGCACAGAGAGAACATGCAAAGTCTACCCAGAAAGGTCCCCGGGCCGGGATTTGATCCAGCGACCTTCTTGCTGAGAGGCATCAACTGAGCCACCCATAACTTTTCTAGACTTGTAATTATCACACAAAATAACTGATATAAATTTAAATAATTGCAATTTTGTCCGCTGCTATATTTATGTAGTTGTGTCCCAATATGTTGGTATCAGCCCTGAAATCAGCCTCAAATACTTGTACTTTAAAAAAAAACCATCGGCCTACTTTAGATCGATACCTTTCATTTTCTTTTCTGACTGAAGATTTACCTATTGCAACTCTATATTGTTTTAACTTTGAACCATCCTCTCTCCATCACCTGCAATTACTCCAAAACGTTGCTGCTCGTCTTTAAACAGGACAYATCGATCCAGTTTTATGAGATTTTTGTATTAATTTTAAGATTTTAATAAGTTCTATAAATAAAATTTACATTGAGGGTGATGATGTTTGTAGAATTTGATAGAATAGCTTCTCAAAAATCATCAAAACATACAAAGTTTGAGTGTTAACCTTAGTTCAACAGGCGAGCAACAAACACTATTTAAAAGGTGTATAAGCCGGTAGATTAAAGGTCCTGTCGCACTAGACAATTTATGCCAGCTTATGAACATTTAAGTCACCTACGTTGAAGATGGAACTGGAAAAAAATAAATAGGAAGCTTCTTTTTGGTGTGTACATAATGCAATTCTAACAAATTGATCAAATATATAACTTATTAGCAATTTGGACATAAAAAATGTGTCATCAGTTGTCTTGTGACAGGGCTTTTAGTCACGGTTGAAAATCACCAAATTATCTCTTTTACCAAATCACAAAGAAACAAAAACATAAATAATATGAACTTTCTTTTGTCAATATGTGGTCGCCCAGAAATCACATTACCTGGCCCATGATAGACAGCAACATCCCAGCCTGGATCTCCCTGCAGGGCAACAGCTCTGACATCCTCTGCAGCCTCTCCTCTTCGTATCCTGGCTGTTGTAACAATCCTGCCATCCTCCTACTACAACCATAAACCACTCAGTTTAAACTATGCAGTTCAAAATAATCCAACTAGAACCATATCAACCTACCTTTAACTCAGCTAGCCACAAAAACAACTTACTTTTCCACGAGGCTAAAGGCAACACCAATGTTTGGTGAAAAAGCGCTTCATACGAGTAAAAATGTTCAAAACTATAAATTATGTACACAACAGCAACTGTCAAAAGCGCTATGAATGAAAACAAACCGAGTAACGCGCTTTAAAAGCTATGAAAATACCATTTAAAACAGGAAACAAGAAGCCGACAGCTCTCTTCTTTCTCGCGCGCATTTGCGTCAGGAAACTGTCACGCTGTGTCCAGCCAATCACACGCGAGCACGGAATTGTGGGTAATGTAGTTCAGATGTCCAAAACATTTACGCGATGGTTAAAATGTAAGGAAAGTGTGATTTTGTTGTAAGTTTTTATATTTGAAAAGTACGTAGAACCTTTTTATGGTACCTAAACTCGTCTTTTTTTTGATGGTGCTGTTTTTATTAACATTACTGCACACTGGACAGTTTTTCTTTCTAGATTATTGCCTAAAATACTTTGTCAGTTTGGGGGCAGAAGCCAGTGGACTAAAAATCATCGTGTTTTACAGTAAAGTGCTGTTCTTTTGTATAATCATTAAGGATAAATGCATTTGCAGGGTTTAGATTTATTGAATATTTTTCTTGAATTATTGCAGAAAATATTTGCGAAGACAAAAACATTCAGATAAATGTATTTAAATCATATAGTCGTGTAATATTCCAAATGAAAGCAAGCCTGTATGGAAACTAAACTGAACATTTTTGTGCATTAACTTCATTATTCATTATATTCCTGTGTGGAGATGTCTCCTGTCTACCTGTTAAACGGAGTCATTCTCATTTCACATCAGCGCGTCTGTTTGAGATTTCGCGCCTGGCTGGATTGAAACGTCAGAATGGGATTAAGGGATGTGGGCTGGCCGTGTCATATCCACGGATATCCTCCGACTTTAATTCAATAGGATCTCAGCTGCGGTTGTTGCTCAGACGGATCCATTCAGGGAGATCCGTCTCAACACACACACACTCACACACACACACACACCCTCCCCTGAGGAGGAGCGGATTGTCGAAACAACCTGACTCAGGTAGAAAACATTTCAGAGCTGAAGGGCAAATGGAGAATAAATCGTCCGCGCGCGGATTCCTGGCGCTCGTGCTTTCTTCGGAGCGCACGTTTCGTTTCTGCAGACTCTGATGAATGAAGATCGGTGCGCAAAACCCAGAAATACCGCGGCTGCGAGAGTGCGGGCATGCTCCGGCTTCAACTGTGGCAGAAATAAAACATAAAAGAAGAAGAAGAGCTGCTGGATAYCAGATGAGGCAGATGCTCGTGTGATCCTGCAGGACCCAGCGCGCAGAATATGGTCCCCGGGGCCCCCAGCACGACCAGCACCATGCTCCCCGCCTCCGAGGCTGCCAAAATCTACCAGACCAACTACGTGCGGAACTCCCGGGCCATCGGCGTCCTGTGGGCCATCTTCACCATCCTCTTCGCCATCGTCAACGTGGTCTGCTTCATCCAGCCCTACTGGATCGGGGACGGCGTGAACACCCCGCAGGCGGGCTACTTCGGGCTGTTCCACTACTGCATCGGCAGCGGGATGACCCGGGAGCTGACCTGCCARGGCAGCTTCACCGAGTTCAGCAGCATCCCGTCCGGCGCCTTCAAGGCTGCCTCGGTCTTCATCGCCATGTCCATGGCGCTGGTCCTCACCTGCATCGGCTGCTTCGCGCTTTTCTTCTTCTGCAGCACCGGGACCGTGTACAAGATCTGCGGCTGGATGCAGCTGGCTGCAGGTAGGATGCTCGCACCTCCACAGGTGGGGGRTGGATGTCAGGGGGGTGCAGAGTTCACATGGCTCCCATTTGTTCAAGTCCACTGTTCTGATATGAKGGTTGCAGCAGGAAATYATCAAATGCCAGMGTTGTAAAGTAACTATGTACAAATACTTTGCTACTGTACTTAAGTAGAAATTTTGGTTATATTTACTTGAGTAATTATTTTTCAGCGTACTTTCTACTTTTACTCATTACATTTTTACACAGTTATCTGTACTTCCTACTCACCACATTTTTAAAAAAGGTAAGAAGTAGAAAGTCGTTACCCCATTTTATTCCGAGTTATTACTTAAAAAAATTATCCTGATAAATTGTGTCTCCTGGACAGAGTGAATTTAACTGTAGTTGGATGAGAAGTATAAATATATACCATTCTGACACCTATTAGCTCGTACACAACCATCACAGCTGCACGCCGTTAGAAAAATATTTTTGGAGAAGTCACTTCCCAATAAATGTCATTTTGGAAAATCTAACTGCTCACTTTTACTCAGTACTTTTACTTTTAATAAGTAGATTTTGTGTCAGAAATTTACTTTTGATACTTAAGTACAAAAAATATCAGATACTTTAAGACTTTTACTCAAGTAATATTTTTAGAGACTAACTTTTACCATAGTATTTTTATGATAAGATACTTGTACTTTTACTCAAGTATCACTTTGAGGTACTTTATACAACACTGTCAAAGCTAATGTGATGTTTTTTAACTTGAAAAGTGAACCTATAAAAACACTACTTATTTTCATGTTTTTAAAGATAAACTAAACTTAAAAGTGGAGTTCCAACTTTTTTAACTTAAAGTTGCTCCATTTATGTAAACTGAACTCACATGCAAATCATTCTCCCTCCCCTCCCGCTCAAGGGTCGGTCAAATTGCCATATGACTGAGAATGGACAGTAATGCAAAGGAAGACCAGTCATWGATATTTAGTCTAACAAAATCATCTGTGCAACATTTTTTTGAAATAATAAAATATTAATTTGTTAACTAAACTAAACATTTTCAAGCTAAACGGCTGCACCTGCTACCTACGGACGGGGCCGGTCTGTGACATAAGCAGCAGGGGCGCCATCCATCTGGGATGCCACAAATGAGGGATAAAAAAAAACATATTTTATAAATTTTTATCAAATAGTTGATTTAGTCTGTAGAATAATTACTGGTTACTCAGGTTTATGAATGTAACTTGAAATTTTGTTTTTTTTAATGCAGGTTTGAGTTGATCTTTTACAGTTTTTCCAGGTTTGTGATACCCCTGGACCCCCCCTAGAACTGTTTCAGTCCACAGCTGCTCATTAACATGAACAGGTGTTCCTCATTATGTTGGCAGGTATGAAGTAGACTTCTGGTTTTCTGTTTCAAATGAATTATATTGATAATTATTATACTAAACAGGTTCAAAAGAGAAAAAAATAATATCAAAGACAAAACTATTTGATTTGGTATGTGAATATAAATTGGAAGTGAGGTTTTTAACATTCAACAAGGGGWGCCACCTGAAGTTTTGTGTAAGGYGCCAAATTGGCTACAGAAGCARCTGWAGTGACTGAAAATAGGTCAATGGTGCCCACTCGCAAAAWCAGACAATTTTGATGTCTTGATCCGTATTTACGCTCAGATATGTTGAGTAAAGTACGCAAATAAAAGTGGTTTGTTTACACCAAGTGCATACCTGCATTTTTGTATTGCATATATCCGAGAAAAATGGCATAAATTATTTCAATCGGCACCATTCGATATTGGATAATTGTCTATAATTTGGATTTCATGCTTTGCTGAGACCCTTTGTTTTTCTTTGAAATGTTTGAGATTGAGCTACAGATGCTTTTTTAGCTATTTTGTAATTAAAACACTGTTTAGGAGTATTATTATGAGCTTTTTTTACAGTACAATGCCTAAGTTTAGAAACAGCAGCATGTTTGCTCCAGAGCAGCAAACTGACAAAACTTGTCCTTTTATTTAGGCAGTCATGTTTACAGAGGACCAGTGAATTAATGCGTTTGATTAGGCTGCTGCCCGTCCTCATAATGCCTTAAAGCAGTTAATGACATTATGTTGATGTGTTGCAGTAGAACAGATTTATGGACATACTTAACTGTGACAGTGTAAGTAATAAGCTGTCATTTTTTTTAGACAACTGAATSGAGTGACCCTTTTTTATTTTGACTGCAATCAACTAAGATGTTCAACTTGTTCCCAACAATTATAAACCTTGGATCTGTGCAGTATCATACAGCTCCCTCTAAAAGCAGCAAAAATTTGTTCAACTTTCACGGCTGAGAAAACAAACAAAAAAAAAAAAACCTGCACTTTGATGTGTAAAATCGACAGAGTTCCTCTTTAAAGTCTTTTGATGTTTTATGAATTCTGTTAGCTGTTATTGTCATGTGCATTTGAATGAGGAGGAAGAAAGATAATTTGCGGAAAATATAAACAAAAGGTGCAACAAGGTCAATGGAACCCTCAAGAGTGACTACAGCGCAATGGATGAAAGAAGAAATGGTGAAAAAACAAGTGGCATCTATGAAAATGAGGAAGCTTTTATTTTAATCGACAGATGAGAGATTTGATGTGTGTGWGAGACGTCCCCACAGGGAAAAAGAAAAAAACAAGAGATTTAAAGCACAATCTTTGGCTCAGAATAATTTGCGTATATAAATAATCCTCCAGCGTTGATCTCTGCACCTTCACAGATGCTTGCAGCACAAAAACAGGTTGAGCTCACACTGTAAAAAATGAAATGTTGGATTTACTTAACCATGTTATGTGACCTGGTTCCACTTAACTGAGTTGAGTAAATTCAAAGCAATATACCCGTTTTTTAGCCAAAGAACATGAGTATGTTGCTTTGAATTTACTCAACTCAGTTAAGTGGAACGGGGTCACATAACATGGTTAAGTAAATCCAACATTTCATTTTTAGAGTGCAGATGGGAATTAAATGTCATAAACAATAAGAGTCGGATTAATGGAGGGAACGCTTTTCTGCATTTTTGTGTTACCTTCAGAGTGGAAGTATGTCCCGTGAGCCTCCTGACCACCAGTTAGCACAATAAACAACAAATTCTGCGAAAATCAGTAAGAGTGCTGAATGATTTACTAAATTTGATGACATTTTTTTTAACTGAGTTGTTAAAGGGATCCCCGATTAGTTGTAACATTAGACTTTATATGATAAACATATACTGTACTTTAACTGTAAGATAAAGACTGTAAAAATACTGTAGGAGGTTCAGTTTTTATAATTTTTAAACTAAAAGTTTAAAATATATTACATGGACAGGGCCATTTTATATACACACAAAGCATTCTGGGTAAATGATGACATCAACTAGGTCATCGGTGCAAGGCTGCTAGCGAGCTATATCCACCCTGAAGGTTAATCTTGGACAATATCTGACGATTGACTCTTAAATGAAACCAGAGAGMGTTGACAGAGAGGAGAAGGTAGAAATGACTCAACCTGTAACTGAAAATATGGATGGAGGACAACAGAGCTGCTTCATGGAAGAACCTCAGCTTAGCCTGTTAGCTTTAGCATTAGCCCTGATGCTATCACCATATATATGTATTAGCTCAGCGCTACACATTCTCCTCTCATCACTGAGGTCCTCCATCTACATGACAGAGAGGGGAACGCAAAAATGACTCAGTCTGCAACTGAAAATATGGATGGAGGTCCGCAGTTTAGCTTGTTTGTCGCGCTAGCGCCAAGCTAATAAATATAAGGCAATATAGCGTGGGCGCTAGCACAAAGGCTAACAGGATAAGCTGAGGTTTTTCTTCCATGAAGCAGCTCTGTTGTCCTCCATCCATATTTTCAGTTACAGTTTGAGTCATTTCTACCTTCTCCTCTCTGTCAACGCTCTCTGGTTTCATTTAAAAGAGTCGATCATCAGATATTGTCCAAGATTAACCTTCAGGGTGGATATAGCTCGCTAGCAGCCTCGCAGCAATGACCTAGTTGATGTCATCATTTACCCAGAATGCTTTGCATGTAAATAAAATGGCTCCGTCCGTGTTAAAATATATTTTTAAAAATTTACAAAACTAAACAGCCTACAGTATTTTTACAGTCTTTATTTTACAGTTAAAATAAATGTTTMTCAAATAAAGTTTAATGTTGCAACTAATCATGGATCCCTGTAAAGTTGAAAAAAGCAGAATACTATTTAAAACTAGGGTTGGGCAAAATTGTACGGAGAGCAATTATTGTCAACAATTAATATTTGACACTGGAGTTAGTGCAATTAATACCATGTGATGGTGACGTATTTGTGCATGTGACGCTCTCACCATCAATTGTGCATGTGAGCTAATGCTAACAGCAAAGCCAAGAGTCTACAGTGTACTCAGTCAATTTGTCCCTTACAAGGGGCAAAGTAGGTACTGGCAGGAGATAATGTGAGGCAGTTAAAATGAAGTTAGTTTGACAGATGATTTCTATAATTTTAGAACAAAGGCTAACCGATTTAGAGTCAAAAACATGCACGTGCAATTGTCATCTATTAATCATCATACTACTAGATATCGGCTAAATTTCACGATTAGCCGTGATTCATTTTATTTAATTTTTTTTCTAACATTGAGCAACCCTAGTTAATACCTAAAACAAACCACCAGTTAACAATCAAAAAGTAGCAAAAGGCTAGCTAAAGAGTTGGGGTAAAAAAAAAAAAAAAGGTTAGCAAGAAGTTAAAAATAGCCAAATGCTGCCTAAAAGCTAAAAGCAGCAAACCTCTGGTTAAAAGTAGCAGAACGGTTGCTAAAAACTAAAAGTAGCACAAGAAGAAAATAGAGGAAGCATGATTAATTTATTCTAGAGAGAACAATGCATTTTGAAGGAATTTTGAAAAACAGAAAAGTTACAAATACCAAAAGTCATAGCACAATTCACMAAACTGTTGTAAGGGACTGGGACTGGTCCTCGCCGGCCACCATCCTGCATGTTTTA